AACAAATGAATAAATAAAACCTCACTCATTTGTCGCTAAGTTATACCTAAAACATTTTTTTTTAATTTTCAAAATTTTTTCCATGCTCTTTCCATACAAACTTTGATTGAATTGCGCTCTATATAAAAGTTAATATTAAGAGCTAAAACTTTCAGAGAGTTGTTTTTTATCAATTTCGAACCATTTGAGTCCTTAGGAGCAAAGAAATTCGAAAATGTCCATGTTAAGTACCACCCTAATATATATATATATATATATATATATATATATATATATACAGGGTGTTCCAGACCTTTACGTCAAGTCACAACGGGGTGATAGTATTGGCCTTAATTCTCCTAAAAAAAATTAGAAAAAAATCTTACGTTATTTGGAAACTATGAGCGATTTACAACAACTTACCCTACGGGAAGTTAAAAATTAATTAGTATTCTATTGATTAGATTCATTAATAGAAGCTCTATTACATGGTAGCTTACTAAAATCTATATAGTTCTAATTAAATGTATCATCCTGGAAACTAAATTAATGTATAGCAATATTGTGTGCCATTTAATATTAAATAATATTTAGAAATGAAACCGTAAATCTCAAGTATCATCTTAAAAACTTCAAAATTCTTTCCTTCATTTGGAATATCTCAAATTCAAAGCATCTAAAACAAATCACCAATTCAAGAAACTATAAATTTAACCTGCCTCAGTATGTATCTAAAGACTAATATTAAATATACATACTTACAAGTATTTATTTTAAATGCTATAATTTTATCATATATAGATTACAGATGTTAAGCTTGCAATTTCTAAAATTGCATATCATATATATTCTGTTCTGTGCAAGTACAAGAAATTTGCATTCGGGATAGTTAGTAATACTAATAATTATGCCAATAGCGAAAATTTGTTAAATGTGTAGATGATTTTAAAAATATTAATATATATTATTATTACTACTAAATCGCATAAAAATGTTATTTACAAGTAACGCATAAAATGTGAAATTTAATACTGTAAAGATCCCGCATTTCAAAGTGTATTGTATTTTATTCTCAGATGCCAAAGGACCATAGTTTGTCCATGCATTTTTTATAATTTCAATACTACTATCCAATCAGTTATATTGGAAAGTGCAAAAATTTTAACATTTGTTTATTTATTCACGAATATTAATGTTCAATAAATATTAAATCTATAGAAAGTGCATTATAGAAATGCTGCGATTATTCCATTACCTAAGAATATTATGCATGTTAGAAATCGGATTTGTCTAAATTGATCCGACAGATAAATTAAGCTAGTGTTTTCCGTGTCCTTATAAGCTAAATCTCATATTTCTCTAATATTTACAACCGTGTAGAATCCCATAAAGCTACATGACTATAAATAACATCGCTCCATTTCCCATAATGACTTTCATAACACTACCAAACGCCAATGCAGACACAATCGCTTATTTCTTTCTTAAAAAAATTCTATTTTCCCATTAAAGCATCAACTCTGATGATTCATCGCCTAGTGAAGCCTATGATATTATCAATTCACCAACAAGAGGCTATTAAAACGCCACTCTTAGTATAGAATTGAGCAACATCCCTCTCTATTTTAATACTAAACTAAAAAAATGCTCAGGCATTAGCCCACGCGCCTCCAGTCCATCAACACATCTAGTCCTAGTCAGGGATCCAGAGGAAAAAATAAATAATCAGTACATTCATATTTGTATTCGATAAGATTTTTTATGTTGTTAAATGAGAATTTAACGAATTCTATAAACTGTTGCACTGACTTCTTAAACTACCTAGTTTTTAATAGATGGCAACTAAAATCGTTGTCCCATCTCTATGTGATGAACTTATTATCAAAATTTCTGTAATACTGATGAATTTTGATACAACAATGCGGTCAGGGCTAGTTTCACTGAGAAACATATTGTTACCTATTATCTTAAGTGGCAAAAGATGTTACTGCTACTTGACATCAAACTGCCTGAGCCGGTATCGAGTCTGGAACTTCTAAAGGTTTGCAAGGAATAAGCATAGAAATTCTATGTTTCAACTTGTTGCTTGTTTATATTTTGTTAATTAGTAATCTTATGGTAAGTTTAGTAAAAGTAATGAAAAATATTTTTAGTATGTTTTCCTCTACAGTGACCAGCCCGAAGTCTATTTGCGTGGGTTAGAAAATGCCGGATAGGCATTTTCATGTTAGCCAAGAGAATGGGTTTTTGCATGGATACACCTATTATTTTGCTTACGGTTCACACAACTCCCTATTAAGAAGAATTGTTGCCAAATGCCCTCAGTTTATTTTTTTCAGTTCTTAAGCGATTAACTTGTGGTAAAACAGATTTATCCATTGAGAAATATTAGGTGTGACTCGGTAATCGAAGGAGTATTTGATAAAGGTTAATAATAAAATCAGGGAATTAATTATTGCTAATTATCATGGATAATTGGGTATTGTTGTAAGAGACATTATGTGCCATGGTTCCTGCTTGCGGTATAGAGACAGAAATTATAAAGATTTTATAGAGGATTTCAATAATTGTAAATTAGTACATTGTAATAGTTGATGTGATCATAAAAATTAGGAGTCCATCGTCTTGATCACAGGACCATCACTACATTTTGCAAAGGAGCAATGTAAGCGATCTGGCAGCTTATTTTGCAAAAATTAATTTTTGTAATTTAACTACTTCTCACATAAAATTTTAAGGATTTAATTTTAATGATCGAGTTTATAACCATGCAGTTTCATCACCATCCCAGACGAGTAAACCAGAGCTTCTCCTTGTGAGTTTAATATGAAATTCAATTTTGATCCATATGGAAATTGAATGATTTTCTAAAAAAAGTCTAACAATATATGCAATATAAAATATTCATGCTTCATGACGTAAGACTTCAATTTTGAAATTGAAATCTCCGTAACAGACAACTTACATTCATTACCAGTAAATTACTAGTAATTAGCACTTGTCACTTTTGATTTACCGTCAGATTTTATATGGTTTTAGATAAATGCAAAAAATTTATGATAATTAGATTTAGACAAGCAGAAATTCTAAACGCAAATTGATTATTTAAATTTATTGCATAATAATTAATTCATAGGTCGTGCAGAAACTGTAGAGATTAGAAAATGCTTCATATCATTTGCACTTTTTCAATTAGTTGTATGCAAATAGTGATAATTAATAGATATAAAATAAAGTCAATAAATTTACTATATTTATTTACATATACAAGTGTGTATTTATTTGCCTATGGTTAAGCAAGTGATGGATAAGTACCATTATTTTGTATCCTGTCAATTATCTAGTGAAATAGTATGCATGGTCATCGGTTTTGCTTATATTGCAAATCATTACCAGCAAACAAATAGTACATTTAATAAATTCCTAGTCACTATTATACCGTTGCTTAGCGAATTTGCAAAGTCGCTAAGGTATTGCAAAATATGTAGAAAATAATATTTATACTCCTAGAGAATAATCGATATGCAATAATTAATCAGGACAAGAATTTGCTGGTAGGGTACCTGGAAATAATTGATACTAAAACCTGTGTTTAAAGTTATTTTATTAAACAAGCTGTAACAAATAATTTAGTTTAGGTTTATTATGTATGTGGAAATTCAATCATGATATGAATGGAGTGCTAATGAATACACTATAAACTATTTATTGAATACAATATATATATATATATATATATATATATATATATTATATATATATATATATATATATTTATATATATATATATATATATATATAATTTATTTTTGTTCCATGCAGGTGATACTTAAGTCGATTAAGTAAAAAGTTAAACTAATCCTAATAATTTATTAAGATAATGTACTTAATTAGGCAAGAAAATATAATGACTACAAATACATCAGTCTAAATTAATATTTCTAGTTAATATTATTATTGAAGACATCAAACAAATTTCACCAAATTAATTGACAATATTTTAAATAAGCTCTAAAGAAATTAAGATTACATCTTTGAAAAAAAATCGGAATTGAAATTGTGCAGTTTTTCCTCAAAATGTATTTTTACAAATATGATTATTGTGAGGAAATTGTTCGACTATCTCCCAGTCTTATCCATATACTGATAAGTCGATTTATTAGTTTAAATCCTTTGAAAAATATTTATTTTTTAATACCGGTACTATTATATTGTAACAAGTTAGGATGTTGTCCAACATTTTGATTAGAGGACGGATTGAAATAGAATAAAATAAAAAATATTTAGTAAGTACATAGTTATTGACAATATTAATAAATATCAATAAATTTGAGTAGTGTTCTGGTTTTATATACATTTTTTTATATTTTATAATTCTATCATATACTAATAAAATTATCTATCTACGTTCACTTTAAATTTTTTATTCTTTTGGGCACCAACAACACTTATTCAACAGTATTTAAATTTTGTACTATTTTATAAATCCAAAATCTCAAAAACTTTAACCATTAAGTTTTGTATAAGTAATCAATTTGTATCATTAATTATTTTATTACTATTATATTTAACGTGTTATCACCATTTCGTCTTTTATTGCAATCGTTATATACATGTATCCCGGACGAATTCCACCTAAGGCTGTAATATTAAGTACTAATTGTAGGCAATATTAATTATAGGCTAATTAAGGCTTCTTATTTATTAAATTTAAGCTCATAGCTTCTTTATTATTACTAAGTTTGTGGATCAATACACAGCACGCATCAAAGTAAAAACTTCCAAAATTCTGAAAGCTTATACAATCAGGTTCAGTACTTAATTAATAAGGTACGGCTTAAATTCCAAGTAGTTTGAGGTAAGCTCTAAATAATATTAAGTTAATATATTATGAATGGTTTAAAGTGAAAAATCAGTCACTAGACGGAGTATTATTAAAATCAAAAACGAAAACATCAACCAGTAATTTTTTTATTCAGGAGTTTCATCCAGCTGTGGCTGGTCGCTCCCGTTCTCCTTCGGTCATTGCTGCGCTATCTCATCCATTCTGCACCTAACTGCCAACTCCAAAACTTCTAAACTTTGGTAGTCCAACTCCTTGACTAAGCAAAGTACTGCAGACAGCAAATTAGAATTTCTAGCCACTGGCCTCCTCTGAAAACCTTTTAGATGATTTCCAATAACCTGGTTTGTGACACTCAATGCTGGATCATGAGGCCTGTAGTGTTCCGAGTTCGTACTCCATTGGCTTGCAGTTTCATGTTTTCTCCAGTTCTGGTAGCCTGGTTCTTCTGGTGTTTCCATTCTGGGACTAGTTCTAGGACTTGGACTACTGCTTTCTGAATCGCCTGGCGACCTGGCCAACCTCTGACGACTTGCACTGGCAGACATGTTTACTGATTGAGGACGAACAGGTCGGGTATCGGCAGGACGATTCCTGGTCTGATATTGATTGTTGTAGGTTTGTTGCTGTGGGTGATGTGCCACATATTCAGGTTGTTCTTCTTCGCTTTCTTCATAATGATTGCTTTCAGGTTCTGATACTTGCTCTTCTATCTCGTAGTGATCCTTGGATCTGGAGGCTGCTTGGATCTGATTTTGGTGAACGTAGATACATTAGGTAATGAAGAGCAACTTATGTGTTAATAGTATAAATACTTGGGGTACATACGTTTTCATGACCAGAAAAAAATAATTGATAAACCACCAATAATATTATGGAAGTTTTATAGCTTATGTTAGGCAAGTTTTAACCGAATATATGATTTTAATTATTCTACCAAAAAAGTTCATTAACCAAATATCCCAAATAATTATTATTTCCTCAATAAAAAAATATTCAAATCAAGATTAATTAGCCAAAACGATTATTTCTTCAACCTTGGGTCTACTTGATACCACAAGGTCGCCAAATATCCATATAAAGACAAATTCAGTAAAGACGTCAAGTTAAATATCTGCCCACGCAGAATACATAGCAAATATCTATGAACACATGTATAAATAAAGACAGTATTATTCCACAGAGTCTGCGTATAAGAATTGTCTTGAAAAAATAATGAATTCTATTGAATTTTTTATGAGTCATGAACAGCCGATTAGCTTTGCATATGTCTATTCTGTCGTAATATTGATTTTACCTGAACCTGCTCTACTTCTTTGGAATGGATCGAAGGCAATTACGATACAATTTTGTTTGGAGAAAATAATGATAATAAGACTTAGTGAAACATGAAAATTTTAACAGAAATTGTTATCAAAACTGGATACTGTTAACTAGAAAACCTGTTTAGAAAATTATACAATTAATTCAAGATCTTTCGCATATGCATCGCAAGAGCAATAAACAAGTTTTTAACATATGAAATAGAATAGAAATTTCAATAGTTAAATTAGTAAAAACAAAAACTATTTGAAATATTATAAACATTTTATTTTTAATCAAGATTAAAATTCCAGACAAAGAATTTGTTATAAATCAAAGGCATTTCTCGTTATTAATAGTATCACTATAATAAATATTTACATTTATGTTTTCATTAGCAGTATATTAATAATATTTGTATGTGCATGATTACAATTCACAATGTGACCTTGTCAACTACATGTTAATTACAATGATTAAAATGCAAATGCTGACTAATATAGACTGGTAGAATGCTATAAACGCATTCATATCACAACTTGGGGATACTAATAGAATTAAAAACTCTGATTAATAAAGAAAAACGCAAATTTCAAGTAATAGATATGTTACTTTGAAGAGCATGGAGTTCTGTACCCAAGGTTTCTGGTCCCTGTTTCGAGTTGATTTGATAAACTGGCTCCTAATATTTGACATAACTTTTCCTTATTATCGCAAGTGTTTATTTACGATCGTATTATTACAGATATAACGCTAATCTGGTTTTGATAAATCACTTTCGTTTTCTAATTAATTGTCTGTGTATATAAATGTAATGCTCTAATGATTTCCTATAGACAACGCAACTAGTCGTGAAAGTGATCGCTGTTCACGCCCATTGCGTCTGAAATAATAATAATAATGGATTAACTTGATACATAGTTTATTAAGATCGTTTAGAACATTTTTGAAATACTTAAGAAATTTGCGAAGAATGCAAAACTGAACTAAAAACCGGATTTTTGTGTGCAAAGCATGACGAATGCCAATAAGCGCTAAAAAATTTATGACTAAGTTACTTGATTGATGACTGAGTACTTTGGATAAGCACATAAATATACCTCTGCAAATTTAGTAAACCCTTTGAATAACAGTGCTTCTGTAAAACTTAAAAAAAATGTACTGGTGATTTTTAGAGTGCTCTACAAAAACGATGGTCTACCAAATTTCAACCCTGCACAACATAGTTGCCCAGGCATATGAAAGTATAAAAAAACTTGTTCTTGTAAGAAGTTTAGAAGTGTAAAACAAAAAATTTTGTGCCCGTAAGCTTAAAATTTTTATACGATTTAATTTTTTCATTGAAAAAATCAAATTGCCAGACCATTTCAGCCTGCAGAAGTATCTACACTGGCAGATGGAAGGTTCACTTTTATGAGCAAGTATATGTATCAAAATAAACTTTGCTCTATAAGGTTGAAATTTATATATTTATTTGTCCAACAAAGCAATTTTAAAAAGGTGTGTACAATTCCAGGCGATTCTGTCCAGCCTAAGTCCCTACCAGGCGAGGAATAAGATGTTATGGGTGGATTTTTTGTTGGCAACATAAACTTTTCTTTCCTGAAGTTAAAAATAGTATTTTTATTAACCACACTATAGCTGTAATTTATTATTATTAATTAATTCACTTCATAACTCTTTGGCCAACATGCAAATTTATAATTATTTTATGTAACTAACAAGGAAAACCAAACATACTTTCCATACTATTATCGTTCACCGACTAGTCCATTCATAATTTACGTAATTAAAAACCATTTCCTATAAAAATATACCTATACGAATATATAAATTAATCGTACCAATCTAATATATTATTTTCTCGTTTGTTCAAATAGTTACATACTGTAACAAATGAGAACCTGGTTTCGTAATGTCTTTTGATACAGTCGCGTGCTCTATAAAATTTCTTCCGGATGAAACGCATTAACTTATTGTTGGAAAATTTCTCATAAAATGTAATTCAAATGACAATACAACTGTACAAAACAATAAAAAAGCTAAGGCTTTTGTGCGAAGGCAAAACGCGGTAGTAAAATTAAAAAAGTAGAGCTTGGCACAATAAATATTGTTATGGATATAAAGAATAGAGATTTTTTTATTGGTCATGAAAACGTTATTCACCTAAATTTTATCATGTACAATATTTATTGATATATATATATATATATATATATATATATATATATATATATATATATATATATATTAGGGTGGTCCTTAATATGGACATTTTTGAATTTCCTTGCTCCCAAGGGCTCAAATGGTTCCAAAATGATAAACAATTTTCTAAAAGTTTTAGCTCTTAATAGTAACTTTTGGATAGTGCAATTCAATCAAACTTCGTATGGAAATGGCATGGAAAAATTTTGAAAATTAAAAAAAAAAAGTTTAGGTATAACTCAGCAACAAATGAAATAAAAGTGAAAATTCGTGTCATTTTTTATTGAAAATTCGACGTTCTGCAAAATTTTTGAAAATTTTTTCATGCTATTTCCATACAAAACTCTGATTGAATTGCGCTCTATCTAAAAGACAATATTAAGAGCTAAAACTTTCAGAGAATTGTTTTTCTATCAATTTGGAACCATTTGAGCCCTTGGGAGCAAGTAAATTCTAAAATGTCCATATTAAGGACCACCCTAATATATATATATATATATATATATATATATATATATTATAGAGTTTGATTAGTATTAACCAACCAGATTTTTGAAATAGCGATGATTTGGATACGTTTTTAAGTTTTTTTTTAAATAGAAGAAAGAGACAGAAAAATGTGTTTTATACTGGCATTGATTTGAATATAAAGAATATATATATTTTTAATTGGTCATGAAAATGTATTTTGCCAAAATTGAAATTATGTGAGAAATGAAAGAAACAAAAGCATAAACAAATGCTTATAAAAGTCAAATTAATGACAATTAATAAACATGTTTTTTTACAATTATACTTTAATATTTATATCATTCGAATATACCTCTTCTTCTGAAAAAGGCACATTATCCAAAGATACAAGATTAGGCAGCGTCCTCAACACGATTAATCTATAATTTGGCAATTGAGCACAAGGATTCTCCTCGAGCCAAAGTTTTTTAAGTTTTGGCAAATTTTGCAAATAACACAGCTCATTCAGATCCGCTATTTTGTTTTGTCTTAAGTACAGTTCTTGCAGATTCCAGCATTCCTCGAAATCAATCAACCTTGATATTTTGTTGATGCTCAGAGCCAAGATTTCCACGGATGGCATACTTCTTAAAATCGATACGTCCTCCAATTCGGTGCCCCAGCAATTGAGTTTTTTCACGGAACCAATATCGCATTGTTTGGTTCTTGCAGAGACCATGTCGGATGTTAATCGAGCCATTTTAATAAAATTAAGTGTATATGATTTATGAATAATCACTAATAATTTTGTTACTGTTTTGAATAACAAATAATTTAATTTGAAACCTTTGTAGAAATTTGAGCGTACACATTCGTTTGTTTAAGGATTGTAATTTGACAGTCCATCATTTCAGCTGATTACATACACATAACCTAAAATCACAATCATTTTATACGGCATAATACACTTGAATCACACAATTTCGAATATATTTTCCCAAATGCAACATAGCTGTGTTGTATTAATAACAAATTAACTTCATAAAACTAGGTTTCAACCTAAAAATATATAATAGAGAAGCGTCTCTATCTCTATCATGTCACGTCATCGTATTTCAGCGTGTTTTCATAGCTAAATATATAAACACTGTACACAGAAACTGAACGAATGAATGCACAATTAATTATCAAAGTATTACTAATCCATTTTTATCAAAAAATGCCTTGATATACACTTGCTTTGTTGTGATAGAGCCATGTATGTAGAGAACTGTACAGAAATGACTAAGTTGAACAGCGAAGCCAACATAGCGCAGATACAAAACTCGGTGCCGTACAAGGCGTGGATCGGTCTACACGCGAGGCGCTCGTTCTAGAACGAGAGCCCGACGAAGAAACATTAGAAAATGTAGAGAAAAATTCATAATACTTTAGTAAAAGGCATTGTATAATATAAAATTGTTATAAAACAACACGACAAAATTACAAAAAAAACCCTTGACTATTTCAGGTACTTTTTAAATTAAGTCAATCTTTCCATCTTCAACTAACTACTATTCAGCATGAAATATCAACGAATTTTCCAAATAAACGAGATAGCTATTTGAAAAATTACATGGCATTTTATTACAAGCCAAAATAAAATTATAATACAGAATAACAGAATATGTTTAATATTTCTATAATTTTTTAAATCTTATTTTTGAACAGAAATCAGAATTTAAGGGATGTTGTAATAGAATATCTTCAGCTTTTTAGAAGGCAATCTCATACTTGGTCTAATTATATTTGATATAATAATAGAACATTTCCTAAAGGCGACGATTTTTAGGAAGTAATCCCATACTTTATCTAATTATATTTGATGTATTTTTATTAGAATTGTTATCTAATATTGACATTACAAATTTCATTACAAAAATACAATATGTAGGAATAAAATGATTCTTAATTATCTAACATCAAAGTTATATTTATTTAAATAAAATGCATGTAATTTTATTACGAGCCAAATTCAAATAATCACATAATATGAGGTGATAAGATTGAGGTAGAAATAAAATATGTATGATATTTCAATAATTTTTTTAATATTTTATTTTTATTTTCATACATCACTTCACGATACTTCACCTTAAGCACGTCACTCTATAAAAGGCAATCTAATAATTGGCCTAACTCTATTTAATACATTAGTATTAAAATTTATGTAATACTGATGATATAATTTTCATTTTATTGTATCACTAGAAAACGTAAAAGTAGAAAAAATGATAAATTTTTCAACAAAAACCTTAAAATATAAATAAAAAAAATATGTATGAGAACTGTAATTTTCTTCATACATCACTTCACGATACTTCACCAAGCACCTCACTCTATAAAAGGCAATCTAATAATTGGCCTAACTCTATTTGATACATTAGTATTAAAATTTATGTAATACTGATGATATAATTTTCATTTTATTGTATCACTAGAAAACGTAAAAGTAAAAAAAATGATAAATTTTTCAACAAAAACCTTAAAATATAAATAAAAAAATATGTATGAGAATTGTAATTTTCTAATGTTTTTTTATTTCTTGTTTTTGCAATAAAAAAAAATGTTGTATGAGAAATGCTGTTACTTCGATATTTTTTAACAATTTTCATCAAGTTTGATATAATTTTCATCAGACAATATGTTTTAATTTTAATCAGGATTTGCCAGAAAGAGCTATTTTCTTTTATGAACATATTTTTAAAATTAATTAAATCAAGTAAAACTAAAAATATTTTTTAATGTTGAAAACTAATTGATTTTACAATAAACTTGTATAATCTCATCAGTCAAGTTACCTGGATAAAAGTATCAAGCTCTCTTACTAGAAGTCACACGGCCGTGAAAGCTGCTACGTTTTGAATATTTAATTAAAATTATGCTTTGATGTCGAGAATATTTGAAACAATGAAAAAATACTAATAAACTTTGGGAAAATGGAGAATTTTGCGCATTTATGTAAAAAAGTAATAATTTGAGAATTTTTGTGTAGAAGTAAATATAGGTCAGTATACTCAAAAAAAAAAAAAATAGTACGCATAAACGATTTATGATTTTAATGAATTTTACATGTTTTATAAAATAACGAAAACAGTAGAAAACACCTACAGCTCATCTTTTGAGTAGCTTTTAAATTTCACGTTTATGCAAGAACTATAAATTTTATCTATTTAATATATATATATATATATATATCTAATTTATATCTGATTATATAATTGGAATGAACGTTTCATGATGTAATCGTTAAGGACTCTTGATTTTAAACCCCGATCTGGACAATTTGACATCGTACAGTAGCGATGTCCATTTTTACTTGAATTTTTTTTTGCATAGTTTTATTGTCAATCAAAATAATATACATTTACTTGAAACTAAAGATAAAAAATGATTCCAATTGAAAATAGTCCATTCAGTGCACTGCGATGTAAAATGGCACTATAGATTATTTCACATTCTTCTTTGAATCGAGTTGGAGTTTAACTCAGGTCACGCATCTGCTCTAAGGCAGTACTACCCATTTTATAACTTAGTCACATGACTTGTTTTTTTTTTATAAATTGTCTACGGATTTCCAACAATTATTTTTATGTATTTTTATGAAACGATGGCAGTGTGAACCATGCCTAATTCGAATTTATACGTGGGTATCACTCGATTTATATCCGTGCTCTATCTGTGTGGGTTCGTTTCGACGCGTTCTGACCTCGAAACGTAGAGAGCGTAAACGTTTCACGCACACAGGCAAATCTACGTTGTATTTCCAAAGTTCTGTTTCGACATTTTCTTATGTTTTCTGAATACAAGGAAAATCTTGGACGAAATATATAATTTCAAACGATTTCTAATTGTTAATGAATGAATAGAGAATTTTGCAATACAAGAATTGCAATTATCCTCATATTATTCGCAAAAAAATATTTTTAGAAAAATGTTTGCTACTAGTGAATCATTTTGGGAAATTTTGAAGAATCTTAAATGAACCATTACCATTAAACCATTAAATGAGTCACACATTAGCATGTACCATGCAATTGTACATTTCAAATGTGGATCGATTATTTGGTATCCTCACTTCTGCAAAAAAAATTTAAGTGAACAAAAAAACTTTTGAAATATCAAAATATTTGGGAACACACAAATAGTACCCTGAAAATCAGTTCTGGTTAGTTTCTATTTTTTATATATTCAACCTATCAAGTATTTTACCATTTTACAATCCTGACTAAATTCGCCAAATTTTGATGGAACTTGCCAACAACATTAGTGCATTTTCTTAATGAGAGTCGCGAAAAGTAGACAAAATTTAAATTGATAGTTTAACAAAAAGTCTTATTTGATAGAAACTTGGGGCAATTTTGTCATTATTTTTGACCGGGGTCCTAGAAATGTTATTTATGATTACGGATTCAAAAGTGAAATGAACAAAATTAATGAAAACTAATCACAATAACCAAAAAATGGCCTCATTTTCACCAAAGCTCTAAGGTTCACTAAAAAGGTCATAATTTTCATACTATGTGAGGTAATCTTTCTTTTTTTCATTATAGTTATGGTCAATATTATCACCCCGTTTCGGCTTAACGTTGAGTTCTGGGATGCCCTTTATATAATTTTTTTTCAAAAACCCATTTCAAATTTAAGATCCATTTAATGTGATTTAATAAGAGTTGGCGTTGATTAGTTTTGCAAGACGATTGGCCCAGTCATTTCTTTAGAATTAGCAAAAAAATCAAAACTTTTGATTTATTTTCTTGCAAAAAATCTTGAAACTAGTGGTAGATCTTTAGGTTAGAATTCTATTTTTATTATTAGCAAACTAACAAGTATTTTACCATTTTACAATCATGATGAAGTGCGCCGACTTTTGATGGAGTCAACACACTTTAGTGCATTTTTTTAAGGAGGGACTCTCAAAGTCAAACAATTTTCAAAATTTTAAATTCTTAGTTTAACAATAAGTTTTATTTTATTACGATTTCAAAGTTTAAAATAACAATAATAATAAAAGTTGAACACAATAACCATAAAATGGTCAATTTCACCAAAGCTCTAAGTTGTACTTAAAAGCTCATAATTTTCAAACTACGTGAGGTATTGTTTTTTTTCAATTTTTTCCATAATAGTTATGGTTAGTACAATACTATCACCCAGTTTCGGCTTAATATTGAGTTCTAGGACACCCTGTATATACCTTTATGCCAAAAAACCTATTTCAAATTTAAGAACTATTTAATGTGACTTGGTAATGGTTGGCGTTGAATTGTTTTGCGAGACGATTGGCCAAGTCATTTCTTTAGAATTAGCAAAAAAGATCAAAACTATTGGCCTATTTTTCCGCAAAAAATCATTAATCATGTTGTAGAGGTCTGCTTAATCGTTTCTTCGTAATTTTGTGGAAAAAAAAATTCATGCAATTTTATGGTCTTAACGAACATCTTAAAATATTATGGGACTATAAAAAGTGGTTATATATAATGCAAAAATGCATCACAGTTTTCTGAAAGATGTTATTCAGAAATATACATTGTGTAAAGTTTCCGATAAATATAAAAAAATATAATTATTAAAAGCCTTTTACTTAGTAATTATCTATCTATGTATCATATTATTTACTTAAAATTGACGCATTGATTGAAAATGTCAATGTAACAATTACCTATGACAATTTAATATTTCCGAGTACCTTGACGTGTGTCTAATCACGGCAGACACTTG